CCCCCCCCCCCAGTGTTATCCTAAAAGACAGCACTGGAAAAAAAAGGTTTCTGGCTTGTCAAATAAACCCAAATTCCTCCCGCGTAGTTGTTTCGATGTGCTCAGAGAGAAGACGGACATGTTGCATGAAAATATGAAAGCGTCATTTGTGCCTCCATCATCCTGTCCTGCCCATCTGCCATCAGGCTCCAGAGGTTTAGTAGGTTACATGCCTGAACACATAACCCTGCCACAGCAATCACAACTAATCCCCTCCAAAGCGCTTCACAATCCCATAAACGTTATTGTATAGATGCATTAAGGGGCTAGAGATGGTGGGTCTAAAAATAAACTAAAACACACCAGAATGCCCCCCCCCCCCCCNNCCCCCCCCCCCCTTCGCCACTTAAATATTTTTTCAGGTTTTAGTAAATGACAGCTGGTGTCATAAAGTTGTCTTTCTTTCTTTCTCTTTTGTTTTGTTTTGTTATCTTAATACCCATCTGCCCCGGTTCACTTTTGCCATTGTTTTTTGTGTGTTTGTTTACCAGCTGTTGTGTTTTGTGTTACAGCTGTCTAGGCTTATGCTTCTTGATTATATTAAAGTTGGTATTGTGCAATACAATAAAAGGTGTTTGTCAGCCCTGATAAATTCATTAGTATATTATTTTCCACTTTTTATAAATTCTTACTCAATGCAATTGTTTTTATTGTATCTTTATACCAAGATCACGAATATTCCAATAATCTTTTAGCATACCTGAGCTGTCATTTGTCTTTTTCTGAGAGTATGATCTTCAAGCCATCTCCAGGGGGATATAATATTTAGATGTGAAAACAAAAGAATAAACTTTATGTAAGAACAAATATGGTCATTTCACTTGTAATCTCTAGCAGAGGTTAGGATTATTGTTCCAGAGGGTTTTCTCGATGGATTGATTTTTCATGAGAATAGATTGTGTATCAGCAGATTAAATAAAGATTACTTCTCCAGTGACGGTTAGAGGACAGTAAGGGTTAAAAAAAAGTGATGAGGATTTGGAAATAAGGCAATTTACACGATAATTTCCCGAGTGATGACGTTCATGTGTTTTGTTCTGTCACAAAGCTACTCGGTCAAACATGGTGACATACCACTGCTTTTGCTTTTTAATAACATTTTGACCCAAAGCTGCCCACCAAAACAAATAGCTCATCTATTTTGATCAAGCTGCACATGGAGCCTTCCCGCTCTTGTACACGACAACACCGTGAGGCCGTTGATGTGTCCGCGTGATTCAGCTGTCACGAGTCACCGACTCATGGCTCTCTTGTCTGCATATAAATGAATTTGTCAGGCTTCAAAAACATGAGATGCTGTCCATTTTTCATTATTCATGCCTCGATGTGTTTGCATTTTGGAATTGTTTTTTTCCCTACCGGTGCACTCAACATCTTATTTGATTTTTTTCCTGCTAAAGAATTATGTTTCACTAGATTCCAAATAAGCTGATTCAAATCTGGTTTCCAGTCTGCCTAATCAATGTTTTTGTTTTGTGTTACAGTGAAAAAAGCCAAGCTCCAAGGACCTCCAGGTGAGTCCCTGCCTCTGTATTCATAACACTTTACGATCTTATGCTGTATTACTTCAGTCCGATCACACACACTCCAATTGTCTGAATATTTCACCTTTTTAACACAAACATTGAATTTGAAGAACAGAAAGTTGTAAAGTTGCAGATTGTGCTTTCAAGTTCTTGGGAGTTGGTTCACATTGCTATTGTTGTTGTTGTTTTAAGACCACTATTGGAAATATGCCACATGAACTCACTTTCTCATGTAGGTTAATCAGTCAAATTGTGGCAAGTCACTTGGGAGCTAGGCCTGATATTGCGTTGCGTAATCCCGTGTCCTTCCACGCCAGGCCGCGCACAGGTGAGCCTAGATCAGTGGCTGCTAAATCCAAATCCTCACGTCCTCCACCTAAACAGATCTAGTGTTCAGCCCCACGCCTTCCTTTAAGTCCTGTAACGTTTCTGGCAAGAGCAGGCAGCAGCATGGCAGAAAGTCACAGCGGCTTTGGATCTGCCGGTAACATTTCACTCTCCTCCTCAGTCCCAGATGGACCTTGTAAGGATAATTGCTGATGTTAATTATTCAGCAGGTCTTTACATTTGTTCAGCGTATATTATTCCTAGTCCCACCCTTTCACCTTTGGGCAAAATGTTTTTTAGGTGTCTGCATTGTGTCACAAGCAGCTCTATTGCACTGAGATATTGGTTTTAGGTCGCCAGCCTTCTCTGTCTGTCTGTGCCCTCCTCCCTCCCCTGGGCCGCACCACGTGTGACACCTGTCCCAGAGCAAACATCAGGGATAATTCAGTTAAGCCTGTCGTCTCCCTTAGGCGAAATGTAAACATCAGTCACTTTTTTTGTTGGCTACAGGGCAAAGATGGATTTTTTTTTTTTCAAGCACAGTCCTACGTGAGATTTAGAACACAGAAGGTTGTGTTTATACTGTAAGTGATTGTAAATATTGTTCTCTACAGTGAAGTGGAGTTAAAGGGGTAGTCTAGGGTTGCCTTGTTACAGTGCTTTATTTCATCTCACTATCCTGTGCTGCCAGTACAATGGATTGTGCATCAGAGTTGCACATTCTGCTCTTTAGATCTGCACCTAATCTTCTCTTTACTTATAGGAGGTCAGATTCCTACATTTTATGTTCTTTCTCGGCCATTATTACACCCCATTCTTAGGAACTGGCCCTTTGTACTTTTACTTTCTGGTTTAATGAATTAATTATTTATTTCAAGGTTATTCCTCTCTGCTCATGATAACCCTAACTTGCTCTGAATAGGTAGACATCTTATCGGTAGACAAATTATTGGAAGAGCCCTCAAAGTTTACATAAGGCTGGTCTGGGATATGTGTTTGCCTTGTGCTTTCACCACACCTTTTAGATAATGTGCTTTTAGGTCTTACTTTGGAACTCTTATATTCCGTTGTTTAGGGAGAATACTGTACATGTACAACTTAAGGTGACCTTGGATGGGCCAGTGGCTAGCTGTCTGACTTTCCACTGATTGCCACAGGAAACTGGGGTTTGATAAGGGTTGTGAGTGTGTTTTCAGTCTCTGAGTGTATGCACGCACACATATTTACGTATGCTCTTTTGCTATTTTCTTTCAACAATACACTTGTGTGTCCAGAATACACATCACAAGCTATACCATTCACCTTCTGTTCAGTTCAGAATATGTACTGTAGATGGAGAGACTTCTCATGAGGTGGTCCCAGCAATGGTAGAAAACTCCTCCAATAGATTCATGTCAATGCAATATTGATGAGGGGTCTGGATTTGAAATGTCACCCTTCCAACTGCCTGCATTTCCCTGACTAATTTATTGAAAAAACTCATCATCAGTCAATAATGGATGAAGACACTTGACTGAGGGGCTCAGGGGTGAGTGGGTGTCTCAAAACATGGACAGGACAGGGAGCCCACATCATCCCACGATTCACCTGAACTGATCTCTCCTCTTTACAGCACACTGACTGGAGTTTTCACTATGTGTGTCACTGTGTGTGTGTGTGTGTGTGTGTGTGTGTGTGTGTGTGTGTGTGTGGGTGCAGTGGGTGTGC